CCCCGAATCCCCAAATGTCCCCTAAACCCACCCCAAGTGTCCCCAATCTTCATCAGCAGCTATCATCTATGGCCAATGTTCTATCGACGGAAGGTTGCATATCAACCGCAGCCGCCCTGAAGCCCCCCAAAAAAAAGCCTCCTCGCACGCCCGCAGAAAAAAGAACTGAGCGATGGCTGGCCCCGTGCAGACCCTGGTCTACCAGCTCAAGGTCGCCAAACGCACGGAGGGGGAGTCCGCAGGACTCTGCGCGCAATGGGCTACTTGCCCGCGCGCATAAGCCAACTCCTGTCTGAGTGCAGGCAGTACCCCCCGCGGAACCACACGCAGCGCCCGCGCCAGACCCTCCAGGACCAACCGCAATGCATTGATGATGACTCAGATAGAATTAAATTAAATAGCACGAATGATGCACAATCAATTATCTTGATTCTATCATAGATTGCTTCCCTAAACCCACCCCATGTCCCAGCCCCGTGTCCACAAGTGTCCCCTAAACCCACCCCAAGTGTCCCCTAAACCCACCCCAAGTGTCCCCAAGTGTTAACCTAAAGGTCTGTACCCCAAGTGTCCCCTAAACCCACCCCAAGTGCCCCCAAGTGTCCCCTAAACCCACCCTAAGTGTCCCAAGTGTCCCCTAAACCCACCCCAGGTGTCCCCAAGTGTTAACCTAAAGGTCTGTATCCCATGGAGTTGGTTCCCTAAACCCACCCCATGTCCCAGCCCCGTGTCCCCAAGTGTCCCCTAAACCCACCCCAAGTGTCCCCAAGTGTCCCCTAAACCCACCCCAAGTGTCCCCAAGTGTTAACCTAAAGGTCTGTATCCCATGGTGCTAACCCTGAAGTCAACATCAAAAAATGTCGTCCTAAGTGAGTGAAAAAGTCGTCCTAAGTGAGCTTTGGACCGTTCAGGTCTCTCCGGATTCTACCTGCCGCTCGAAGCTCAAACTCTTTCCGCCCAATATAACCTCTTTCCGCCCAATATTGTCACTATTTTGAAGTTCTGTGGTTCCATCATCTCTTGCACATCTTTGCATCCTCATTAAGCTGAAACAAGTGCTTAACGGCCTTCCAACAGCTCTTCAACAATATTTGACTTGTTACAGTTTCCAAAGTTACGCATTCGTTTGTTCCATGGTTGAAGTCAATGCCACGTAACAGTGCACTAAGTTTTTCTATTCCTGCCCGCCGGTGCCAATGCGATGCCGTGACGAAGACAGAACGCTGCTGGATGTCAGTTTCTTCTTTGGCTCTGACCTGCTATGTTCGTCTATCTTTGAAACACGCCGTTGTCTTGAAACAATCACTTTTTAAGTTTCTTTCAAATTGAAAGCGCTTCCAAGAATTATTCTTGCGAAGAGGTTGCTTGTCATCATTGTCGCTTTCTTTCGAGCCATATCTTCCCAAGCTTGTTCAACATATCCTTTGCGCTACTTTCTTGCTAAATTGTCGTGTTGCACAACCAAACTCCTTCATACCAGATAAAGAGTCAATCAATGATGAGGCGTGGACAATAAGGTGGAGTGGAGCGGTGACTTCAGAACTAGACAACGGATGGCCCGAGAGCGTAGAAGAGCATAGTCAAAGGTGTAGGTAACTATGACGATCTTATAGCATGATGTATCATATAGAAATATTTGATAATGTCTACTAAACGAAGTGAGGTGTGAATGCGTAACGCGCAAAGAAAGAGACATGGCGTAGACATGCTGTAAACAGAGGCTACCTGTGAAGAGAACAAGCGAAATGAGAAAGAGAAACTGAAGAAGAGATGAAACAAAGATGAAATGAAGGAAACACAGGAAGAAGGTATCACACGGACACTTTTACATATACAATGCTCTTGCACAGAAACACTTTTACACACAAACATGCCTTATACACAAACACACTTTTTCAAAAACAAGCGCTCTTTTGGATACATACCCTTCTACACACAGATGCTTTTACACACACGCGTTTAGACACAAACGCTTTCACACTCAAAGCCTTTTACACACAGACGCGTTTAGACACAAACGCTTTTACACACAGACGCTTTTACATACAAACCTTTTTTAGGCACAGGAGCCTATTTACACACAAACCCTTCTACACACAGACACTTTTGCACACAGATGTTTTACACAGAGACGCTTTTACACACACACACAAACCCTTTTACGCACAGACGCTTTTACACACAAACGCTTTCACACACACATACACACACACACAACCCCTTCTACGCACAGACGCTTTTACACACAAACGCTTTTACACACACACACACGCTCACACACACACACGCTTTTATACACATACGCATTTACACATAGATGCTTTTACTCACACACACACACCATCTTACACACGAACGCCTTTGCACAGAGACACCTTTACACTCAAACCCTTTTACACATAATCACCTGGTCACCTTTACACAGCAACACCTTTACAGACAAACTGCTTTACACACACAAACACCTTTACACGGAGACACCTTTGCACACAGACCATTTTACACAAAAATGCTTTTACACACACCCCCTTTTACACACAGACACTTTTACACACAGATGCTTTTACACAGACACACGCGTTTTTACACACAGTGTTACACACAAACGCTTTTACACACATGCGCTTTTACACGCACGCGCTTTTACGCACAAACACCTTTTACACGACGCTTTTACACGAACGCCCTTTTACACACAAACACCTTTTACACACAGGCACGCTTTACACGTCAACCGTGCAGTGGTCAGTCGGCCAACCGGGCAACTGGAACGGGCCACCGGGCGATCAGCCCACCAACCGGGAAACCGGAACGGGCAACCGGGCCACGGTCAGGCCAACCGGGCAAACGGAACGGGCAACCGGGCCACGGTCAGCCGGCCAACCGGGCAACCGGAACGGGAAACCAGGGCACGGTCAACCGGGCAACCGGAACGGGTAACCGGGGAACGGCCAACCGGGCAACCGGAACGAGCAACCGGGCCACGGTCAACCGTGTACACGGTCAAAGGGCCAACAGGTACGGTCAACCGGGCAACCGGGCAACCGTACCAGACCATCTGGTGCGGTTGCCCGGCCAGCGCCATACTCAAAATCACCAAATCGCCTCACATCAGATTTGGAAGTATAGGCCCAGCTATATGTTATATGATGGGCAAAGTCTCATATTTTTGTTCGCAGATTATATCCTGGATCAGTACAGTGATACCAGAGAAGTGGCCAGATATTCCCTCCAGAAACCATGGAAGCAGACATTTCTCATGAATTTGAATGTGTCATATGTTGCTATATGTTGTCCAAGAAACTCATTCTTGCGGGAAGCCATGTGGTCACCCTGGAAAGCCTGGCAGATGCTGTCCGCTAGCTTGCCACGTGCCAAGCAATTAAAAACGCTGGAGGCAATGAACAAAACATCGAGTCAACGCCTTTGAAAAGTTCTGCCGATTCTGTTCAGATCGGAGGGCTTCATTTGAAATTCATTTGGTTCGTTTTTCCAAGCTCAGGATTCCTTTGCGAAATTTGATGCTGCTTTGTCTCATTTGTCCCGATCCTTTTCGCTGAACTTCGGCTATGCCGACGTCGATGGTCACATTGGATACGTGATGACTGGCGAAGTTCCCAAGCGGGGCAAGCCAGGAGTGGAGCAGCATCTCTGATGATAACAGGTTCAGGGCCGGAATTTCAAAGACGAAGTGACCCACTGAATCCATGATTTGTGAGCAACACGTGATTAAACTCCATATTATTATGCGTTTTTTGTTCCACAAGATTCTACAGCATGTTTGTATAATGTGTGACAGGTGCGATTTATTCAAAAGCATGAATGTTCCAACAAGAGTGGGGTAGACCTCATCCAGCAGTGATCAAGGGTTGCCCGTTATGAAGCCAAAGTTTCTGATTTGAAGCATCATTTGAATCATTTTGTGAGATAGTCTAACTGTTTAACCACCATGATGCGGAGGAAATGTATGCGCAATGGCTTGAACAGGTGGATATTCTCAGCTCAAAATCAAACTGTCATCTTCTGGCAGTGTCCTTTTGAACACTTCCAATGTTAATCCCGGATTGACAACCCCCGGCTTGGTTTCCAGTAGCTGGCGTGGTTCCATTTTAATATATAGCAACTGCAGATGACATGGGAGTTGTCGGACATACCCAAAAAACGCAAACTCCCATGTCATCTGCAAAGTGAAAAAAGCAGAAAATGCATAAGTCCCGTGTCATCTGTAAAGTGCCTCGGAAAAAAAACAAATCACATGACATGGGATCTCTGCAATTGTTTGGGCTCCAAAAAGATGCAAAACATGTCATGTCAACTAACCCACACACTGTACATGTCACATCCCACATGACGTGTGTGTTTTCTCCTGGAAGTCCCATGTCATGTGTAAATTTGATCACTTATTCCCATGTCATCTGTCAAAAAAATGGAAAATACCTGCCCGTTAGGTCGGCGCAAAACTCCCATGTCATGTGTAAAAAAAATCATAGCAAAATCGACACATAAATCCCATGTCATGTGCCAAAAATCCTCGGCTAAATCGGCCGCAAAGTCCCGTGTCATTTGCGCCTGCTATACACAATTAATCATAATTATACATGTAGTTATTGCTTAGATGCAGGTCCAGGCAACGGTCCCACCTCAGCTGCGGCCTCTGTCTTTTCACGTCGAACGCTTGGGGTCAAATCCCCTGGTTTTGATTGGCAAAGGGGCAGCTGCAAGTTATAAATGTTGCAACTGCATGATGTGATGCGCAACGCAAAACATGTCCAATATGAGGAGTGGATTCTCAGCACTCCCCCTTGATGCTTCCGTCAGGGATGCATCACCTAACGCTCAAACTACCCCTCTCATTTCATCCGCAGCTTTTGCAAACTGGAGTCATATCGATGAGTTTTCCTCTGGGACATCGATGGTTGGTGTGGAAAACTTTGACTGATTTTCCAAGGAGGATCCCCTTTTTTGGTAGCGGAGCTTGGTTGGAGCGCTCCGCCTCCTTTTTACACAACCAACACCACTGGGCTTTGTAGTGAGGGCCTATCCTTGGGCCATGCAAATGACCGCAGTTCTGATTGGGATGAAAGACTGTGCCAACTGTGTGAAGAAAACCTTGAAGTTGATATTGATTTCCGGCTTCTCTTCATCGCTTTCTAGCCACGGTGGACTTCCCCTGGTGTTGAGCTCCCTCTTGATCTGTCTTGCATCCTCTTCTAGCTGCTTCCACCAATTCTTCATCTTCTATCATTGGATCGCTCCATTGGGGTGTTGGGTCCTGGCTTTAAGATGCCGGACCAGAGTGACCAGGCGGGCCACTTGGCGGGCGCTGGTCAGGGTCTGCTCCACCCGCACCTGCGTCGCCGCCACTGGGGCGCTGGACAGGGTCTCCTCTACCCTTCCCTGCCTCACCGGAAACTCCCTTGGATCGTGGTGACTTGAAGTTCTCTTTTGAGCTGCTGGGGCGACTTCGGGTTTTCCGGGAACGAGGCTCTTCGGTCTCTCTTAGCTTGAAACAAGATCGTGGCAATCACCACCATCACGGTGTATGCCACCATCATCCAGTGAAACTCCTTCATGTCACCTTCTTCGAATTCCTTCTTCGCCTTGTGCCTTGGTCATTGATAGGATAGTAGCCAGAGTGATTAGCCTGACTGCATTGGCTGCCTGCTCCATCTTCGCTGTCTTCTGTTCTGCCTCTTCATATTGTGCTGAACCTTTTTCTTCTCTGCCAGTCTCTTTCGCTTTCTGTCCCATGCCCATGAGCTTCTTGAGTGTCCCAATTCTGGGAGACGTCTGTGCTTTCGCGCCCATGTCTGCTATCATCTCCTCTCCTGGTAGATGATTGAGGCCCCATTCTCCTCCCAAGATCGCTTGTCTGGCGTAGGAGGAGCGGAGGCGTAGATGGCGTGTTCGCCATGATCCTCCCTCACTTGAGAGAATGCTGATGGCCGTGGAACTATCAGTCCACGCAATCTTCTCCTTTGACGATCTCTTCCAGCAAAACTGAAACTGACTCCTGCATTCAGGCCCTCTACCAGTTCACTGAGCTCTGCTTCTCCTGTGGACAAGGGCACAGATGCCTGTCTTCCCGATCTCCAAAATAGAGGGCAGCGACCCACCACGACCAAATATGCACCGTGAGATTCTTCTCCTTCCGGTGCAAATGACGCATCTGTGAAAACCTGTATGACTTGCTCCTCTTCAGCCAACTCCTCATACCTCAATCCTTCTCCATTTGTTTTCTTCAGGAATCCCCAAAGCTGTGCTGCTGTCTCCATCACCTTCTTCGTGGCTCTCGTCACATTGGCGCCCATTCGAGCCACTGCAAACATGATGTCCGGTCGCGTTCGCGTGACCAGCCACAGTACCTCCCCAGCAGCCTTCTGGCACTTCCTCACTTTCTCCACTGTTGGAGGACAACTGTCAGCCTCACTGAATTTATCGCAAATTCCATAGGAACTTCTGAAGATTGGTGCGGGTGTGAGGCTGTCCAATCCAAGCCAGCCTCGCACGAAGTAACCCGCTACTAGTGTTTGCGCTCGGCTGCCGGTTTTCCGCTGTGCAGCAAGGTAGCCATCAGGGCAGCAAGTCGACCGCCTACCCTTGTGTTAGAACACATGTTAGAGAACTGTGAGTAGAATATGGCTGACGATATGAGAAAACCAAATTGTCCGAGAGATGCCGTTTAGATGGCGGAAGGTGGGATCACACGAAGTAAAGGAACCAACTTGCCCATTGCAAGCGTCAGAAACACCGTCCAAGAGAGTCTGTTCTTAACGCGTGTGTATAGACTCATTTACATGGTTGAAAATAAGCGGGCCATGTGTTCATTTGTCTCAGCAGTGGCTCAATAGATCGCCAGACTTGAGGACGGAAGCTCTGTTTTCTCACCAGAGTTGGATGAAGAGGACGTAGAGGTGCAACTCACCATCTATGCCCTTCCAAAAGCTTTTCTCCTCCCCGCATTGTGCGGTGGCTTCCACGTTTCCGTTGCGTGGGGGTCAAGCGAAATTAGCTTTGAGAGTGAAGGAATTGCGTTGCACGATAAAGGCGCCTACAACTGCTTCTACTACCTCGGGTCTCGCAGCTTGGGCTGGGCCCGGCGGGAAGAGGTAGAGGCGCTTGCCCAGCTCTGGCTCAACGAGCCAGATTTGCTCAGCGAATATGATTCGGAGGACAACAATTGCCAGCATTTTGCGGCAATGTTTGTCAGACGAAACTTGGCGTAGAACCCAAAGCTGTTTCTTTGTTCTGCACCCCAGAAGAAACTTGCCTCCTTTTGTTTTTGGGCCCAATGCCCCGTGCCAAAGGATTGAATTTGGACTACCCAGAGTCATGCGCCCGGGGCTCTGCTTTGCTCCGCGCCTTGGACCTTCAATATCCTCGAGATGTATACCCATGTTTGAAAGAAGTATTCGTTAAACCGATTCGAGCTTTAAACTTTGAGACAAAGGCTCCCTAGCCTATTTTTTTTTTTTGTCGGAGGCAACGTTCCCCCAAAGTTGGAAGCGCAACCTTGGCAAGCCAGGGCCGAAGTTTCAAAAAACAGCAAGGCTATACAAGGCTGCCCATTGACTTGTGAACGCGTTCTTTTTGCGCGGGTGCCTTTACGATGAACGCGGAGTGTGCTCGATGGAAACAATCCAACTTTCTGCAACTTAGTCAAAAGCCAACCTATACTTGTGGTCTACGTATCTTCAACTTAAAGTTTATGTAGATATATCGACCGGCGAGTAGTTTGCAAGGCACTTGTAATTAAGCAGAAAAAAGTAGAAACGGCTTTCGGGCTTTCAAAGTTCTTCAATTTTGGCAACTGCATTTAGCTTGATTTTGAAAACCTGGGTTTCTGCAACTTGTGCAAAGGAAACCAATTTAAAGTGAACTCGCGGAAGCGTTGTTACATACAGTGGACAGAAGCTCTCAAAGCTATGTATAGGTGCTGACCCCCAAACAATGAGCTTGACATTGAAGCCTGATCTCTGGAGATCGGGATTTTCTTCTCTTTGACCTCCTCTTCCTGTCTCTGGATGAGGTCTTTGATGTATGACTCTTGTGTGATGAGCCAATCTTCTCGGCCTGTCTCCTCATTCTTTTCTTTTGTGATCTCCATCCCAAGGAATCTCACTGGGCTGGACGACACCCATTCTGCCTCGGATGTGGTCCATGACTGCTGAAACTGCTGCAGTAGCGCATCAACCACCTCCTTCGTTCCAGAAAGAAAGATCCAAAAATGTCAAATTCCTCCTCCAAAGTGCGTTGGTGCTCCCCCTCGGCCCGGATCACCTTCCACAGGTTGGGTTCGCTTTGAAGGGGCTCCAGCGCCAATGTCACTTCTTTTCCTTGGACCTTGACTTTCACCTTGTATGACTTCATGACATCATCTCCGTGACCCCCATAGTCTTGGTGAGCGGCGGAATCCGTACATCCGTACACCGCTCGCAGTGGAAGGAACAGCGCGTCTCTTGGCATGAAGCCCTGGTCCACCAAAATGGATGGAGGCTTGATCAAGAGGAGTCCTTCTGTTTCCTTCTGTATCATCTTGGCATTCAAAAATGCCGTCTTCACATCAATCACACATCCAAGCCATTGACGTTTCATCGCCATCCACACCAGTACTCTCAGGGCTGTTGCATCGGCCCCACTGGAGGAGTTATCCTCGTCATCCTTGCGGCTTTCAAAGTTGCCGCATGCGACCCATCGGGCCTTTGGCTTGCCTCCTTCTGGTCCTGGCTTGAGTGTGAAGACCATCTTCGACAGAACACTCTCCATCGTCAAGCCTGTTCTTTCAGCTTCTATCTGCAGCTGATGGACCTCCTCCTTGGTCAGCATCCTCAGTGCTTCTTTCTCTTCCACCAACGACTGAACTTCACTTTCAATCGCCGGCAGCCACTCTTTCCATCTCCTCGCCACCTCCTTGGGCGAGACAATCTTCGTTTGGAGGACTTCATCTTCCTCCATCTCCTAGCCCCCTGCCATCTTCTTGAGCTTGGCCACGATCTTCAATTCCTCTCCTGCTAGCTCAGGATCGTCATGGATGATCCTTCGAGATTCTTCTTCTACCACTTTCATGATTCTGTCTCTGGCCTTCTTCTTCTTCTTCTCATCATCTTCTTCTTCTGGTGGTGTCATCATCACTGCGTCCAGCCTTCTCACGGACGTCTTTTCTCTTAGCCTTCTTCTTAAGGCCAATGCATCCAGCATCTCCTTCTCAACTGCCAGCCAGACTCTCTCATCTAGCGGCTCCTCCGTCGGCCTCAGGATACACTTCGTCACCCTAGGGGCCTCTCCTTCTTTGTAGATCCAATGCCCATGATCCTCTGTCGACGGGCACAAGTATGGACTTTCTCCACTCCAACCTCAAAGTTTCCTCTCTTCCAGGTCCTTTTCTTGACCCGCACTTCCTTCAGAAACCTCGGCCATTCAGGTGTTGTGCCCATCCTGACGCATCTGTTGATCTCTGTGACGTACCGGCACGCCCAGGGCCACCATTTGGCATCTTCACATGCCTGTCTCAGGGCTCTTCTGATTTGGGTCTTTATGGCCTTCACGGTGTTCTCCACCCTGCCATTCCCTCTTGGATCATCACCGGGTGTTCGGGTGATGTGGATGCCACGTGAGTTGGCCCATCGTTTGAACTCTCCTGAGAATTCGCGGCCTCTGTCACAGTGGATTCGGGGCGCATTGTGCCCGTCTGCCTTCAGCTTCAAGAGGAACTCCATCTTTGTCCTGGTGACTTCCTTGGCTGTCTTCGTCACCATTGGAAGTGCCAGCCTGAAGACCCGCAACTCCATCCCCACCTGCTCTACCACCGGGCGGGCGCTGGTCAGGGTCTCCTCCACCCCCACCTGCGTCGCCGCCTGGCGGGTCTCCTCTACCCCCACCTGTGTCGCCGCCTGCCGCGGGCTGCTCAGGGTCTCCTCTACCCCCCCTTCCTTCTCCGGCATCTTCTGGCTGCTGGTCTTCGGCTTCTTCTCTTCCTGGACTGCTTCTATGTTGGTGCATCTTCCTCCAGCGGTTACTCAATTTGGCTGCTTCATCTTCTCTGTCCCCTTTGGGACGCTCCATGTGAGGGCTCCGGCTAGGAACCACCTGGCCATGCCTCCTCCTTGATCGTATGCTGGCTTCATGGGTCCAGCGACATCTAGGCTCAGAATGCCGCCCATTGAGTTTCGGACCCTGTGGTGTGTGTCTGCTTGTTGTAGAGACTCCTGGCACACTCGGCAGTCTCTTCTGTATGGTATGTGGTTGAATGCTATGTGCTCTTGCCATGAGAGTGCTTTGATCTGCACATCCTGGTGCAGAACCTGTTCTTGTAGTGCTCCTGCTATGTGCATGAGCCCTGGTGGCCACCTCGCCAGATCCTTGGAACTGGACACCTTTTCATAGCTTCGTGGTCTTCAACATCCATTTTCAGAGACCCTCCGATGGTGGTTGGCTTTGTGGCTGGGTCCACCTAAGCTCCTCTGCTCAAAGGTGGTCTCCTCAAATTGAAATTCTTCCTTGATCTGCTTCCACTCCTCAGTGTCCCAGAAACTGACTGTTTCTGGCATGTAGCTTCTTGGAGATGCTGGTTGTTCGAGGGCAAAGTGGACCTTGGGCAGTCCTCGTGCTTGTGCCATGTAGTGTGCTACCATGAAGAGATACGTACGAGATCGTCCTCTCTCACCTGTGCTTCTGCCTTTGGGGTTAACCACCTCTTGCCGAACTCCCACCCCATTCTCGTGTGCGGCAGTTTGGCCCACCTACGATGGCCTTCAGCTTCCCCTCAAGAGCTGCTCGTAAGAGAGATGGATAGACCTGAGAGTCGCTGAGCATATCGTGTCCTGGCCCTCTCTTCTCATCCACCTCCAACATCAAACCTTCGTCTCCTCCAACTTGCTTGAATGCCCGCTGAACGGTGAATCCTTCCTTGCCTCCTGCATAGAGGTGAAGAATGAAGCCCTCTCGCTTCAACCTCTTCCTCCACTTCCTATTCAGCGGCAAACCACTCCATTCTCCTGGAGTCACCGCGAGTCGATCTTTGATCCATGGTGGCAGCTGCTTCAGCACAGGATGCTCCCGTGCCAATCTCCTCATCCATTCTTCTTCTTCTTTGAAGTCGCCTGCCGTGGCGCCTATGCCCTGCACTTTGTCTTCTATCTCCTCAATGAGCTCTAATGCCAACGCTTTAGAGACTTGAGGGCATCCTTCATGGTGTTGTACTGGAAGCAACCCCTTCCTTGGGTTTTTCAGCTCCAGCTCCTTCCCTTTCCACTCACTTCGCATCCCAACAGGGCTGTCAGGTGCCCCATAGGGACGATTGGCTCTGTATCCTTCTTTGGACTCACCATGGCCCCTCCTGCTGACGTGGGAAGTCGAGTGATGCCTCCATCTGCTAATGTTACCTGAAGCTGCTTGTATGTTGTGTTTTCTCCTGGCCTTGCTGGCCAGAGACGGTGTGTGTGGCCCCACTGTCAGTGACGCCTTAATCTCCTGACTTCATGACCTTGCCGATCCCCAACACCTTTAGCTTCATGCTGTTTAGCTGCTGCTGCAGTCGCTCTAGGACATCACTCCTCGCTTCTTCCTCCTTGGTTGCGGAGCTCGCCGACGCTGCACTTCCTCCTGCGGACGTCGGCATCGACCTCAGCATCTTGTTGGCTTCTTCCATCAGTTCTTTCATTGAGATGTCTGATGCCACCGAGGACTGTATGTCTGATTCCTTCGGTGATAATGGTCTCCCCTCCCCCTCTGACTTCAGGCTCTTTGCCTTAGTTGGGCTTCCTTCTCCTGTCGCTGACTTTGGTCTGGTGCAGCTGGGTGACATGTGGTCTGTGGCTCCACAAGTCCAGCACCTCCTCTTCTCATCCTTTGCATCATTTGAGTAGGTGCACTGCTTGCCCTTTCTGCACCCCTTCTCACTCAAGAAGAAGTGACACTTCGGCTTCCCTCCTGAGTCTTCGGAACTTCTCTCCTGTCCTTTACCTTTGCTTTTTTCTCGATCACCTCGCTCTGCCTCAAACTGCCTGATCTTCGGTGCTTCTGCTTTGTTTGCTGGTGCTGCTCCCTTCTCTGTGAGTGCTACCTGTTCCAGCTCTGCTAACAAGTGCGTCGCAAAGTGACCTACTGTTTCTGCTGAGTTGGTGTAGTGTCATCTCCCTCAGGCTGTTGCGCACCATGGAGATGCAGAACTGCAACTCCTTGTTCGGCTCAATGGCTTTTCTTGTAAGCCGATTATAAGCCCCTTCAAAAGTAGGGCTGGAACTGGGGCGACAGCTCCAATCTCCTCTGTCCTCCTCCTCCATCTCAGCCACTTCCTGATGGCTCCTGGGGCTTCTGAGATTGCACTCACCTCGGCTGGCTCCTCTAAGTTCTTGAGAAGCGTCTGCTTCTCATAGAATTCTCCTGGGCAGTAGACGGCGTATAGATGAGTCAGAATGCAAAAGACTCCCAGGCGACGTGATGCCACCAGCTCTTCCCTGATGCCTTCTGGGATCGCATGAAGAAGCATCGCTGACATCCTCCTCTCTAATCTCTGCCATTTGTCTTGCTGTACTTCTGCTGGTGGTTCTGCTTTGTGCTGAATTCGATCCAGTGGCGACAGGCTCACGTGCCTTTGGTACCATCTCTCGGCACCGCTTGTCACCAACCTCCACCATGTTTCTGACGTCGTGGATAGGTCTGCCACCAGCGGCTCCAGCAAAAGAAGCCAATCCCCAAGCTGCAAAGGTCCTTGGGATGGGCTCCACTGAGGTAGAGCTGGGAGATCTGGCACTCCACACTTCTTACTATCTCTACGCCCTTCACTCTTCACCATGCCTGCTTCTTCTTTGCTGGTGATGTAGTTCTTGTGCATCTCCTTCATCGATTCCATCATCAGGAGCATGAACTTCTCGGTCGTGTTCCCTCCTGCTTCTGCATTTGGTGCTTCGGGGGTGAAGGCCGGGCCCGGGCCTTCACGGGCTTTGGAGGTCTCGTCCTCCTCTGGGGCTTTCGGTGCTTTGGGGGTTTCAGCCTCCTTTGATTGTGAGCCTTCTGGTGTGGCAAACCTTGGCTCTAAGTCTTTAATCCTCGCTTCCAGTTCAGAGAGGCTTGACATTACTCTCCGACTCTCCTCCATGACTGACACCATGCTTCGCTTCAACTCATCTTTCTCAAACCTCTCTTGGTACAGCCTATCTCGCATTTGCTGCAGCTGTATCTCTCTTTCTCTATCAGCTCTCTCAATCTGTCTTCTTCTTGATCTAAGAAGGCTGGACGTTGTGGGTGTGGATATGGAGAGAAAACTGAGCGGCCAGACTGATACAACCATGGTGCCTGCTCATGCAGACTGTGAAGTGCTCGAACCTGTTCGTCTGTGAACAGTGGTATTTGTTCGATCCCACAGTCCCAGTCCTGTCCTCCTTTGGCGTCTGAAGGCGCTGACTTTCTTTGCGTTCATCTGCTCCTCGCCTCCCTCTTGCCGCTCTGGTGTCTTCAGACCTGCTGACCTGACATCCTGCACTGGTGGATATGGCGGTGGCGGTGTGGTCGGAGGATGTGACCTGGCTGGCTTCGGGGTGTCTTCAACCTTGGGGCTAGTCTTGGTGGCTTCTTCCTTTTTGTCTTCTATTGACCCTACTGATCCATTTGACTGGTCTTCAAGCTTCCCTACTGCTTCTTGCTTCTGTTCAGACTTCCTATCTTCTATGGCCTCTTCAGCTTTCAACCTTGCCTCTTCTTCTTCACCTTGGGCCAACTCCTCTCTGGTTGCCCTTCGAGGAAGCTCCATCATTGGTCGAGCTCGCAGCCTCTTGGGCTCATAACCTGCTTAGATGCAGGTTTAGGCAACGGTCCCACCTCAGCTGCGGCCTCTGTCTTTTCCTGCACGTCGAACGCTTGGGGTCAAATCCCCTGGTTTTGATTGGAAAAGGGGCAGCTGCAAGTTAGAAATGTTGCAACTGCATGATTTGATGCGCAATGCAAAACATGTCCAATATGAGGAGTGGATTCTCAGCAGTTACTGTATTAAATAAACACACACACATAATATATGTATATATAAATATACACATAAGTAAGTACATGTACAATATAGGTCTCATCACCATCGCCATCATCATCATCATCATCACCATCATCATCATCATCATCATCATCTTCACCTGTTCAGCTTTTAACCTCCCTACAGTGCTTGACACTTCTCTCCTCTGCTTCACGACCTGGAAATTGAGGTATCCTTTACCTGGATGGACAGGCGAACATGACTGGCAGACATTTGTCGCGCACCAGGATCTTCCCAAAGCCTTTGATCCTCCAGTTCTTTGGCAACCAAAAAATGGTTGGTTTTCTGTCGTTTTCTATTGCTTTCCATGGTTTTCGATATTTTGCCATGGTTTTCCATGGTTTCTATAGTGTTCTACAGTGTTGTATGGTTTTCTATGACTTTCTATGGTTTGGGAATGGGATTTCAATGGAGTTCACCATCGGTTGCAATGTTTTTTTTTGGGGAATGGGTCTATTTGGAAATGGGATCTAACAATATTTAACTTGTATACATGGAAAATCGTGGAAATGACCATGACCATGGGCCATCATGGGTTTATTTTCAGATGGGTCCATGTCCGAAGCATTCAAAACGTACATCCAGGAGCACCAGCTATGCTGAAGGATCGCTTGGGATTTCCGGGTGGCACAGAGGTTAATTTTCAACCGCGCTTGGTGGTTTCAATCATTATATATTCTCCAGATGGCATGATGAAACAACTTCAATTAGTTTCGGCCAGCAAAAACCTCAATATGCTAAGATATCCACCCAAGAATGTCTTCCTTTTTTGGAGCAAAACCCTATAAATATAACCGGATTGTCGAGTGCTATCCATAGTACCCTTGTGGTCCCTATCCCCATGTGCATTTGATCCCCAGGTCGCGGCCTACCCTCTAGTAATCAAACGTGGCTAGCTGGGAAATCCCCCACAAATTGTGTTTTTTTTAGCTGGAAAAATCCATGAAAATCGTTTGTAAATGTGTGATTTTCATGGATTTTATATTGACATGTGCTTGATAACCGGATGGTATTCTAAGGGTGGGAAACATGTTGCGCACATCACAGGGCACATGGGTTGCAAAACACAATTAAGGATGGATATCTCATCTCTGCGAACCACAAGGCTGGTGAACATCTTCGGGGACGCTTGAGGAAGTGAACCACACAAAATTGTATAGATGTGTCGACATCCATCCATTGAATTTTCCCTATGCAAATAGGATCTGTGATCATATTATAATAGATTATAAATTTATATTCGATGTTTCCAATTTGCACCGTGTCAGGCGACTGTCAGGCTACTCTTTGGGTGTAGTCATTTTTGTGGTTTCAAATTTTGCATTCGCGTTGTTGAAACCCCCTGGTTGGACGGTGAATCAGCTGACAGTTCTGACAGCTGACCGGAGCGGAACCTGCGAGGTGGTCGACTACGATTACTACAAGCACTATTTAGGCCAGTCGTTCAGCCCATGAGCAGAGTGGGGAACAATTTTGATAATTTTGACCAACCATATGTTTGTATCTTTGTATATCATAGTATGGAATCCCGTTGGCACTTTGGGTGCTCCAGGATAAAATCAAGGGGCTTGACCGGCTTGACCCCCTAGGAGATTTTTGAAACTATCCCCTATCCCCTGTGAGGGGGGGTTTTGGTGGGTTGGGTCCACAGATTTTATTTTCTGGTGAGGCCGTGTGATCAGGATCTCAACAGATTCTGCTGTTGGATGGGCCATAGGTTGGGCCCCTGCTAAAAAAATGTGGTTCCCCCAGGTTGGGGTCCTTGGTTCCCCCTGGCACCAGACGGCTGTAGTATGGGTTATGTATAGCATTATAGCAATTGATATAGACCATGAAGTTTCTGAGTTTCTGATTTTTGAGTCCAGGTTGCTTGTTTCAAGTGTAGCAGAGACTTTGGCCAAAAATTAGGATCCGCAAGAATGGATTTCACTGATATAATACTGATATCTTCAGGGTGCTTAATACCATCACAACATTTACGGAGGTTTTTTTAAAGATGTTTTTCAGGTTCTCCATGTTTTCAACATCTGGCACTCTCTGGATTGGTGCCACGGCGTCAGGCCAGTGTTGGAAGAGTGGATACCGCGCTCGAGCCATCAAAGAAAAGCTTCAACAGATCATCAGCGAAGGTCGTCCTGCCGTTTGGCGTTGCGGATTGGCTGATGATGGCTGATGATAAGTTCCCTTTTTAGGGGTCAAACTAAGAACATGGGCTTCTTGGGTTTTCGATGTTGATTCGACTATCAACATATCGATAAGGCTTCATAGGTTGACCTTTTTGTGATTAAGTTGGGCTTACGCTCCTGGTTTTTAGATGCTTTTAGTGTATCCAAGACTACCCATGGTTTCAACTGCAGTGGATCATGGAGATCATCCCTCGATGCCACTGGCGGATCCTAGCTGCTTTTGACCGTGAACGGTCCTGTACCAGTGGTGCTTCGTTACCCCAGGTGGTGCTAGTGACTAGGTGCTTCAAACATAACTGTCATGGTGGTAACTTGATATTGTGTGGTCGAACCAATCAGTTCGAAGCACCAGATACCACGACCAGGCAGGGTATTGCCGGAGCAGATGCCCAAGCTGGTCAGCAGTGCCTGAGAGAACAACAAAGGGGGCCGGGGAGATTCAGCACAGCTGAGGGTAATAGTTCAACGAAGTGGCTCTGTCTCAAAACAACATGAAAGTCAAAATCCAAGACTTGGAAAAGGAAGAACAGGTGCTGCGTTGGATTTCAAGGTGCACTTGCGAAGCTCGCCAACTAAGAAGATTTGGATGGACAAGTGAGCAGTGTTAAAGACTCAAGACCCCGGTAGGTTCATGATTATAAGATATTAATTACAAGAGATTATAATGGCTTAGATATATACGTAATACATCTTAATACTAACCAATAATTTGGGGAATATGATGGGAATCAACATGAATCGACACCAAACAAAATGCAGACAGCTGCCAGAATGGGATGCAAGGGGTCAAAACAGGGCCACTCAAAATTGACATGTCATAAGGAGAGAACCCACATCAAACGACAATGGCTGTAGCTTAAACCTGAAGACCGCAAAAATGGTTCCCAAATGTTTCCAAACATTAGTATAAAAGCTGTTCTGTATTTTTTCTGATGTATGAATACACGAAGCTATGGGCTCCGAACTAGGTGACATTTGGAGCTGAGAATCGAATGGGCACTTGAATAACCCATTTTGCGCCAGTGAAAGTAGCGGCGATGCCAAATCAATGGACCACTATGGACCACTTAAATATCTTAAATCCATTGATTCAAAGACCAAATCGAACCTTTCAAAGCCGATTTCTGTCCAGATACCGTGTCCTGGGCGGCGATCGACTTTGTGGCGGAGCTGAGGAGCGTGAGACCCACGGCAGAAACGGAGGAAGCCTACAGGAGCGGAGGCTTTTTTGTTTTTTTTCACGGTGAAAACATGGTGAAACCATCTGATTTGGTCCAAAATCTGGGGCCTAACTGATCTCTTTTGATGTTTGATCATGGATGATGAGTGCTGCGACCCCAGACTTCGCAGTGGCCCAGGTTTTGGACATCGCTGGTTTTGAGCAGTTTTGGTGCATATCTTAGTCTTAGCCAAATGAAACCATATGTTTTTTTCAACAACAACATGCAACATGTCTGATTCCATGCCATTTCTATCCATTTCTCTTGATACATCACGAATATCATGCATAAACCATCAAGAAAAACACATGCCCTTCCAATATATTTTCTCCAACAAAGCAATCAAGCATAGCTAAAACATTCTAAAATTCTCAAAAATCTAAAACATCTGAAACAAACAAACTTGAATAGCAAAAGACCCTAAATATCTCCAAACAAGAACCAGATCTATTAATGCCCTCACTATATCTCCACTAGATGCATCCCATTGTTTGTATATATATATAATTATATATATATAGCCACTGATCTACGGTCTTGCCCGGCTTGCCCCTATTAGGATTTTATCGTGTTGGAATGTGATGAAAAAAATCCCCATCTTTGCGGAGGATGCTGCTGGACTGGGACGGTGACCTACGGCCGGACAGTGTGGCAGGGGCCCTGTATCAGTTGACCTTTGCGGAGCTGGTTCAGCTCCTCATCCGCGCTGGGCTGACGGTTTCGTGCTCCAGCTGCAGCTCCGGAATGGTTTGGTGCTTGAAACGAGAAGAAAAATGGAGGTTTCGTATGGTTGATTAATGAAACATGGAGGTTTTGGAACGTTTTACACAGAAAAATGGTGGTTTAACAATGAAACATGGAAGTATAGCAATGAACAATGGAGATTCAACTATCAGAAATGATGGTTGGAGGATAAAAACTGGAGGTTGAACCCGGGTAAAGCATTCAGCCGTCTGAAAAACCCTTTGGTAATCCAACTGGCATCTGACAATTGTCAATCTGAAGATATAGGAATATCAACGGGACACTTGCAATGGGAATCAACATATAATAGCTTGGCTATCGCCGCCCGCTAAAATATCACATTTAACCATCAGAAAATCAAATAGCTTAGATAATGAAGGTTTCGTTTTGTGAAGCTTTAGCTTTCTTTTCAGGGTTTGAGTTTATTAATGTCCCATTTTCAGGCCTTCCAAACCCCGATATCCAATGGATGATCCAACTGCCGGGGACATAATCCCAGCCATCGCCCCCTTGCTCTCCCGTGGCTTTTCCGACGTTTTTTTTTTCCAGGTCACAGGATGAGGCCAGAAGCAGACGCATCATTGAAGCGATTGGTGGCTCTTCCTTTGATGAAAATCAGGTCTTGAAATTCCTCTCGGAGATCCAAGGGCACGTGCCTTGGGCCTTGGTTGCCTCCAAAAATCTGCGAATTGCGATGGATTTGGGACTGGATATCAATGGCCGTTTTCAATGCCATATGGTGGGGGGGATCAAAGCAATGGAACAGCCATAGATCCCAGCTATGGTGGTATGAACAAAAGGGTACGATTCTCACTGACGATGGCTACTGCTATAGAGTATTGTAGGGAAGCAACCACAAAATCTGTGGCATAGTGTGGCCATGGTGGTCTTGCATGCTATAATATATTCTGATATCTTAAGTGGATAGAGCTGCAATTTCAGAGCGATTCTTCAGACTATCCATGTATGTAAACAATGTATGTACGTTCCCAGTTACAAATCCAACATTGAGATGTTCATGCATGCACCTGCGCCTATTCACTTACTGTATACATTATATATTTATACTTATTTGTCCAATCAATAAAACAGTGATTGAGTTAGCATCCAGTTAATCACAAAAACATATTCAGTTAATATAGCAGTTAATATAACAATTATATAGTCGAACAGTTGATATAACAGTTGGATGACTTTGGATGTTCCAAGGTCCATCTGAATGTCCTCCGCATGCTGCGTGGCAGCTCCGGCACCGCGCAGTGGCTGGCCATGGCTGGCGGTCGCGATGCCGCGGTGAACACGGCGCTGCGCAGCGCGTGGGAGAAGCTGGGAGACCCCAAGAGCGAGACCGCGCAGTGCCTGGTTTAGACAAAAAAACATAAGCCACCAACAGAAATGTTGTTGTTGTTGTTGTTGTTGTTTGGTTCATGAGAATCTACATGAATCATTATGACGAATCTGTGTGGTAGATGGTTCAACCCATGAAAAGATTGGCTTTCACTGGGGATTACTTGAGTTTGACTAATGGAACGCTTGGTTATCGCAGCACCAAGCATGGTTAGTAGCCAGTGAATTGTGTTATTACATTGCAATGGGAAACCGGGTTTTTTAAATGCAGCGAGTGCGCCGGCACACTCGGCTCACTCGGCACACTTGACCTCTCCAAGAACCCGGGTTTTTAGACGTAGCAAGTGCGCCAGCACACTCGGCACACTCGGCACACTCGGCACACTCGGCACACTCGGCACACTCGGCACACTTGACCTCGCCAAGAACCTGGGTTTTTAGATGCAGCAAGTGCGCCGGCACACTCGGCACACTCGGCACACTTGACCTCTCCAAGAACCCGGGTTTTTAGACGTAGCAAGTGCGCCAGCACACTCGGCACACTCGGCACACTCGGCACACTTGACCTCGCCAAGAACCTGGGTTTTTAGATGCAGCAAGTGCGCCAGCACACTCGGCACACTCGGCACACTCGGCACACTCGGCACACTCGGCACACTCGGCCAGGCGCGCCAAGCGCGCCAACACCCACGCTCGGCACGCTTGGCACGCTTGGAACGCTCAGAATGAATGAATGAATGAATAAATGAATGAATGAAATGAAATGAAGTGAAATAAGGAATGAATGAAATGAAAGGAAATGAACTTAAATGAAATCATGAATGAATGAAATGAAATGAATGAATGAATGAAATGAAATGAAATGAAACGAAATGAAATGAAATGAAATGAATGAAACGAAATGAAAGGAAATGCAACAAAACAAATGAAATGAAATGAATCGAAATGAAATGAAATGAAATGAATCGAAATGAAATGAAATGAAATGAAGCGAAATGAAATGAAACGAAATGAGTTGAAATGAAACGAAATGAAACGAAATGAAATGAAAGGAAATGAAACAAAACAAACTGAAAGGAAATGAATGAAATGAAATGAAAGGAAATGAAACGAAATGAAATGAATGTCATGAATGAAATTAAATGAAACGAAATGAAACGAAATGAAATGAATGTCATGAATGAAATTAAATGAAACGAAATGAAACGAAATGAATCGAAATGAAATGAAATGAATCGAAATGAAATGAAATGAAATGAAATGAAACAAAGCGAATGAAACGAAATGAATCGAAATGAAACGAAATGAAACGAAATGAAATGAAAGGAAATGCAACGAAATGAAATGAAAGGAAATGCAACGAAATGAAATGAAAGGAAATGAAACGAAATGAAATGAATGAAATGAATGAAATTAAATGAAACGAAATGAAACGACATGAAATGAAATGAAAGGAATGAATGCATGAATGAAAGAGCGAAACGAATCAATGAAAAAATCTGACACTCAAGACTATCCCTTTCCGTGGGTTTTTACATCATTGTCACAGACTATCCATGTGCCATTTGTTTGACTTGTTTGGATCCTAGCATTTGTGAGACGTCACCTCATGATAAGATAAACATCCAGACGATCCCTTGTGACATTGTTTGTGTTTTCTGCTAAGTGGCATTTAGAAAGAGGTCAGTTAAGGAAACGAGCCAAAAAGTGGCTTACCAGTGACACGCAAGTGACACGCAGGTGACACGCAGACAGCCAATCCTTAAATGACCTTTTCAGGGTCCATCTCAGTGACACGCAAGTAACACGCAGTGACACGCAGAAAGCATGTGATCAGCCAGGCAAAGAGGTCACTCAAAGATTTTGAAACGAGGTCACTTATGCATGATTGATCTTGTAAGTGACCGTTTGGCACTTTGGGTCTATATGGCTTCTATTAGAGGGCAGAAGTAACTGCCTGGATGTTGTGTCTTAGATGATTATTCCAACTATCTCTTCGTTGAACTTGGGCCATGTCGAGCGGCAAAGCCACCTCACAGGCTAGGGGGGTGGTTCGGTGCCGGAAGTTTGGTTCATGTTCCGGATGTTCCGCTTGGGATAGGTAGCAGGCCTTTGCACACAAAGAGAGCACAAGATTTCACAGGCAGTGGAGATGCTCTGGTGTGACCAGAATCCGAAGGCACAGAAGCATTCTATGCCTTCGGATTCCGGTCACACCAAAGCTGTGGGCTGCTCAGAAGCATCTTATTTGTTGATGAGTTTTCAAATATTCTCGTGTCTCATCAACGTGGTCCATCAGCATTTCATTTCATGATTAGTCCACAGGTATTCCACATTGGAAAGCCACAACCTTAGTACAAAACCATCGATGTTTCAACATTTGGAAGTCAAGTGGCTCACAAGAATTCATTAATATAATTTCATCATCCGAGGTATTTGCGGCTTCGGCGCGTTTCTGTCAGGCTTAGAGTTGCAGGGTGCCGTGTCCATGCAGCTCTGCAAGGCTTCCTGCCCCGGCTTCATTGTGACGCTTGGAAGACATGCTGACATGGGATCGAACGGAATTGAGGACATTGCAAGTACACCCACTGGATACCAGGAAGAGTAATCGGAGTGCTGAGTGCTTCACTGCTCATGTTTATATTTGTTTGACATTTATTCGAAACCAAACCTCATTGCCCTTCAATCCGTCAGTGAACCAACGGCTCATAGCCCAAGCTAACAGCTTAACAAAGCCACAGGGAGCAGGCCGTAGCTCTCATTGCGCGCAAGGGATAGTACCATTTGAAATGATAGTCAATTTATCTTTTCATGTAAGGTTCTTCATGTTCCTTCCGAGCCTTACTGTCTGCTGAGTCTATGGGCGCCAGCGTCTTCCGTGCTTGCCATGTCTTTAAGCGACGATCCAAGCTCATGCACACGAGCTTTCACTGTGCAGGGGCCAAGGATGGCCGAAGCAATGGTGAAAGGCTTGAAGCGGGTCGAATCTCGCCCAAGACCGCTTTTTGCACCGGGGTGGTATTTTTTGCACAAGGGCAAAAAGACAGGCTTCGATGAAGATTATGCTCAGGAGTTACAGAGCCTCTTGCCAGAGCATAGCTCAGGATTGATGTCCGAAGCTGCGGCAGAAGATGGCTGCAGTACAGGGGCCATTGTTGGCATGGTGTGTATTGGAAAGCAGTTGAGATACTCCGACCTTCCTAACCATCAGTGGGTGCAGGAAAGCCGACCCGTGGTGTACGAGATCACACAGTGCATGCAGTTCACCGCTGGGGTGTCACTGCCAGGTCAGCAAGGTGTTTGGCATGTTCGGGCGCCTGAGGTCCAGGACAGCCTTCGCAAGGCCATTGGCAAAGGTACGCTGCACACCTGGTCGGATCAGTTTCCAGCTTTGTCTGACACGCGGAAAAGATCGCCGACCCAGAAAGCAAAGACACGAGCTTCAAGACCTTGGCCAAAACCGTTGCCTAGAAAGCGACGCTCTGATGCCGGTACACATCAGTGCGCCCCGGACCTTGTGAGTTCCAGCAAGCGCCAGCGCCTCCATCTTGGAGATCCTGCGGTTGGCGCGAAGCGCCCGGCCAATCTTCCTGTGGATGCATCATCTTCGTCCTCGGCACCGACAAGACACGAAGAGCAAAGCTTGGTGCAGCGAATCTCAGCCGGTCGGACGCTGCCACGGCTGCTCGAACTCATGGACATGACATTCTTCAACATCAAATGTCCACAAAAGGCCGGGCGGGCTGTAATGCACGTTTTCAGACCAGTTCCATGCGAAACGTTTTCTTCTCAGATACTTTTAACATCGCTTTCCAGGTGGGTCCTTTGGAACCTCGAAGTGGATTGTTTGCGCAGGTGGCTGGTGACAGCGTGTTTATTTTGAATGTCTTTCGAAGGCGAGATCTTGATCTCGCAGATGTCATTCCTCTGTGCGCTTCTGAGCACAAAGGGAAAGCGGTACACAAGGCACGTGGAATCAGCAAGGAGTGTCATGTTGGAAATGGTGGGCGTTCAGAGATTGCCATGCTGGAATTTTCCTCTTCCATAACTTTTTTCTTGAATACCACAATAGTTCAAACATACGGCTTTAGAGGCGCAATTTTTATTATCAGCGACTTTTGTCCCAGCACCCTGAGGCAAGATTGGCTGAGTGTCGGACTGTCGCCAAGAGCGCTCTGTCTTCTATTTCTTTGAGCTTCCGCGCGTTGCAGGGCACACAACGCCGAGGCGCAAGCCTTCTTTTTGAGAAGAGAGACAACTCCCCGGATGAAGAGGCCAGTGTTTCCACGACGAGAGTACAAAGTTTCAGAGGGTGCTTGTTTTTTTGAATGTCAAGAGTTTGGACGTAGGACGATATGTTCTTACTCCGCCACTATCATTATCAGTTTGCAGCTGCCAAGGGTTGGCCGTTTTTGTTCCGTAGGT